TCCAGAACACGGCCACACAGCCCGGAAGACCCACACCAGCCATCGTATGCTGGCCATGAAAACCTTCGACAATACATTGTCATTCTTTGTTTACTGAAAAGCAGTGTAATACAAACAAATAATAATAACAACTAGATGATGATCATTCAAGTAATTTTGCACATTATCCATCATGACATTAACGGAACTTGAAATAAATGTGATTTTTGCCTAACTTACCCATTTTATACCAGGGTAAGGAACATGTAACCAGTAGGGAAGGCATAGTAAAAGTATGTAATAAAAATGAATAACAATTTAGTCAAAGAAGTAGAAATAGCAGAAACATCAGTAGAAAGAGATCAGTAATGCTGTGGTGCTTGATTTTAAGGGAAACAAAAGCTGAGTTAGTCAAACAGATATTTAAACTTTTAAAAACTGGATTTTAACAAATTCAGACCAGTAGCATTCTATGGTAAGAGAGATGAATGGAAAAGCAGCTCTAGATGGCTTTTTTAAAAGGGCTTTTCTAAAAAAAGAAGATATAAAAAGATATAATTGCAAACAATTCCAACAAGAAAAAAGTAAAGAGCAGAAAAAGCCAATGTGGCTAGACAAAAGAGAGGTGAAAAGTGGGACAGCTCATTAAAGAAGTGTACAGATGGTGGTGCACACTGCACAGAGGATGTCCACAGAGTTAAAGCTAAGGCTCAGAATGAGCTGGATTTAGCAAAGAATACTAAAAAAAGGTTTGGATCTATTCAAACTAAAAGGAAAAGTATACCAGTAGCTTTCAATAAAGAGAGCAAAATGCTAAAAGGAAGGAAAGTGAAAAATGAAGGTAGGCTGATAGAAACATAGTCATGGAATATGTTTTATTTTGAATGAGTTGAAATATTCAGGGCTAGATAAATTGCAAATTGGCTACTGAAAGAATTAGCTGATGGTCTGGGCAAACCCTTATATATTTATCTTAGAGAGTCTTGAAGACCTGATGAAGTGCCAGATGACTGGAGATCAAATGTTGCCCCTATCTTCAAAAGGGGGGGGAAGGAAGATCCAGCAAACTAGAGACTCATTAATCTGACATCAATATTCCAGAGCTGTGTTTCTCAACCCCAGCAACTTTAAGCTATGTGGACTTCAACTCCCAGAATTCCCCAGCTACCATGGGCATAATAGGTGCAACTAGCATGCACACACATATTCATACGCACACACACACATACATACAGAGGCCTGAATGGTCTCAGACTCTTTCCATCTAATTTTGCTCCTTGTTCTCAACACAATTTGAAAACAGTGTATCAATTAACAGTGGTTTTGTCAAGATCAAGTCTAGCCAAACTAATCTTATCTCAATCTTTGATTGGGTAGCTTCCTTAATAGATTATGAGAATATTGAAAGCACAGTATACATTGATTTCAGTACAGCATTTCACAAAGTAGTCCATGACATTTTGATCAGCAAGCAAGCAAATAGGGGGTGGATGGTATCACTAGTAGGTAAATTGCTGGTTCAAAAACCAAACTCAGTGTGATCATCAGTGATTCCTCGTCAAATTGAAGTGTTCTACAAATTTGATAAATGTGTAAATCACATATACTGGAGGGATAATACTTTAGAAGACAAATATAAATTCAAACCATTTTGATATGATTTGAAGACTGAAAATAATGCTGAAATTTAGTAGGCAAATGCAAAAGTCTTCATTTAGAAAGCAGAAATTAAACAAAGATAGGTAACAAGAGATACTTAGCTTGCTAATTATATTTGTAAAAAAGATCTTAGATTGATTGGAAATTGAATATGGGATAACAGAGTGATGATGCTGCAGAATAAGAAAAAATAAATGCAGTTTTAGGCTGCATCATCAGAAACAGTTTTCAAAACTACGTTCATATCCAACCTTAGTGTGCCCAGTTCTGGGCACCACACTTTAGGAAGGACTCAGCCAAACTGTAATAGTTTCCAAAAAGAGCAATATAGAAATTATATCCAGTGAAGAGACACAGAAGGATACTGGGGAATGTACAGCTCTAAGAAGACAAAGAAGAGATTATGAGAGCATGCGTACAATATCAATCCATAATGCAGGGCACAAAGATTCCAAATGAATGTTAGAAAAAACAGTAATTACAGTGGAAGAGTGGAACCAATTACCCAGAGAAAGAGAGTAGCCTCTCCTTTTTCATATTTAAAAATCTGAGCCTGCCTGTGGTTAAGAACAGGTGCTATCCAAAATGTGGGAACTGCCTTCCTAGGCACCTTGGAAGAACTGTACTTCTTATTTAAGTACAGTAACTAACTTTGATTTTGATTTAATTAGAAGGAAAGTCAGTTTTGTAGGAAGTTATTTACAACATGCATTTGTAGCAAACCGTGGTATTTGTTCAGCTGGACTTTGCACAAAACTGTACTTTGCATAAAAAAATAACTTAACAAATCAGAATATCAAGTCAAATCCCATTTTGTTCTTTCCTTCATATCTTTTTTTTAATACAACAGATAAAATACTGTTAATCAGTTCATTAAAGGGTTTTGAAGTTTGTTAAAAACCATGAGCAACAGCAAAACCATTTCCCCTTACATCTGAAATGAGTATCTGAAGCAAAGTCATGTGTTGTTATTGATTTTGAACCAGGCCTATAATTCTTCCCATTTTAAAGATTAAAAGCTGAACTGAATTTTCAAAGGCAAAATGAATTGTATGGAGGTTAGAAAATCAACCTAATAATTTTATTTTAAATCAACCTTTGTACTTTTAACTATCCTCTATTAACAATCAGGAGTTACCTCAGACACTGAAACCATTTTTATAAGTGAATGCCTTAAGTTCTATAAATCATTCCATTATCTAAACAGAGACATCAGAAGGATTTACTCAAATACACCTTAAAAATAAGGATGATGACCGAAATATTGGTGGAAGAGTATCGCAATTAAAATAGGACAAAAGAATGATATGCAAGAGGCTGTGCATCTCCATCTAATAAAAGAAGCAGTCATCCTTGTAACTATAAGCCCAAGAAAAATGACAATTCATTTCATGCAAAGCAAGCTTCTTTAGAGATAGGAGGTGATTTTACCTCACAAAGCAGTAAATCAATTATGTGGAAGACCATACAAAGTGGAAACTTGGCAGTGAAGAGGGTGAGAAACCACTGGGAGGCATACATATGAGCTTCAAGATTCTGTTCCACAAAATGGTTATACAGATCAGGCAGCTGCTCCTACAGAGAAAAGTGAAAGACAAAGATGAATACAATTTCTTCTCTCCAAGATGTTAAATGTACTATCTGAATCTAAATCCAAGTGCATTGTTTTCTATATGCTTATCCTTCTGCTGTATTTTAAGCCAATAAAGCATGAAAGAATCGTTAGGAAATATTTATAGAATACTTTGGTACAAAACATGAAGATAATGTTTGGTGCAAAATTAAGGTAGTTTTAAAATCATCCAATAAAACAAATGGAATAAGCCCATTTTGTGCATCATGTATACATATTATATAAAGAATGCATATTTATTATCAATGCCTCAATTGTCACAAACAGTTGAGCACACCACATCCTATGTAGCTATAGTAGGATATGTTCCTTATTCCCTTTCTTTTAGCATACTCTTTTTCTAAAACAAAGATGAATTCCAGGTAATACCTGCGTAAGTTTCTCCAGCTGGTAAAATTTTCTCCGCAAACCTTCCAAATTGTTTTTATAGAGGTCCCGCAGGCCATAGTCATACATGATCTTCACTAGGACACAAAAAGCTTGTTCTTCAGGCATCTGCATGGAGACCATAAACATAAAGTGATCTCCCAGAACCCTTCCTTTGTAGATGCCTTTATGCAATGAATATGCAAAAAGAGAAAAGTAAAATATGCATTCAAATATTTTTCAATCAGGAATTTAAAAATATACCTCTTTTGTTCCTGTTGATTATATCTGGCACTGACTGGAATTTCTAAAGCAGGTATGAATTTACAAAATATAAAATATCATGGGTCTTCCATATATTCAGTAAGTTCTTATAAATGTGTTTTTTGTGAAAGCAAAATGCCAAATCTGGCTGCTAAGAAGGAAAAGAAACTCTAATATTTAGGGATAGAACAAAATAAAACTTCTCTCCCAAGGAATAGACTAATCAACCACTAATCAAACTATTAATTTTTTTAATGGTATGTTGCTAATCATGTGTAAAAATACAATAATTTAATAACTTATCAAAGAGCAAAGAGCAAGCCATCTTTTTTCCCAGTGGTCTGCAATTGTATTTGGATTTTGGGAATTCGCCTTTGCGTTGGGAGGCTTATATTGCATTTAATATGCTTAGCTCTCTCTTCTCAAGGGAAAGTTGAAAATTTGCTCCCCTAATGATCTGGCAAATTTCCTTATCTGGAGCCAACTTACAAATTTTAAGTCAAGACAGGATTATCTACTTGCATGCTTAAACAAACAAACAAGCAAACAACCTCACATAAAAAGAATGAGAAGTCTTTCACTTGAAGTTGTATACAATAAGGGAAGGCCACTCCTGGATTAATAGGCAGAAAGGTTTCTTTGGCATATAAGCTTTTTGTATATACTCAAGCCTAACTAAAAGTTTATAATAATGGCTCAGGGGAAAAGAAGTGGGGAGATGTTAAAGTCATCTACTCAAGGAACTAATTTTCTCATGTACTTTACTCCAGTCAATAGCATCCACCTACTCTTCTAAGTGCCAACATGAGATTAAATAGGAAGGGAAATGTACAATTAGAAGTTTGAGAGGTAGAAACAAACATTACACCTGCTTGTCTAATTAAACAACAATGCTGTTTTTGTAATGTACTCACATGCAGAAGAAGAACAGCAACAAGAAAGGAATGACCCTGACAATAACCAATTTCTTCATCGTACACTGAATATGCCTGGAATTAAAAAGCATATTTGATTGTAATAATGAATTATTAAATTCCGTGGTCCCAATTGCACTGACTTGGCTCCCCATGAGTCTGACTTGCTTTTCTTAAGTTCTGCCATAAGGATGGCAAATGCTAATCTCAAATATAAAAGTTTGAAAGCCATTTTCCCACGTAACATGGAATTTATTGCTCTAAGCAAAAATTCACTGCGTGCATGTACGTTCCATGGTATAATTACAATACTTTAAAAGCATACCATTTTGTCATTCATTTCAAGCATCAATCACTTGAAACAGCTACGAACACACTGAAGGAAGTCAGTTTTTAACTCCCTTTTAGGAGACAGAATTCAATTCTATCTCCTAAAGTTCAACTCAGTTATGAAAAGCATATGAAACCACTAGTACTATACCCTACCAACACCACACATACATACACTGCACTTGAAGGATGTGATCTAAAGTCCCAGAAATCAAAACAAGCCTGGCATCTAAACAATAATATCTGGCAAAGGTGGAGGACTGCAATCAGTTGGCACCCCTACTGATGTCAGGCAGTGAAATGACTCTGACAAGCACTAAGGAAATAACCTTTACTAAGGCAGAACGAGCTTGGAAAGCCTCAGGAAGATGAAGGCAAAACAATTCATTAGCTATCTTAATAGTATCCACAGTACACCTTGCAATTCACTGCGATGGTGGGGGTGGGGGTGGGGGGAGTGTCTCCACTGGGTTAAAGCAGAAGTGACAGCACTAAATCCTGCCAACACACTTAGCTCTAGAACATTCTGGCAGTGCTCTGAATATTAACAGGAAACCCTGAGATGCACAGAACCCACAAAGAAGCAGCATTTGTGATTTATGTTCAACAAAATGACATTCTCAGTAACAGTTTTTGTTTGTTTGCTGGTTTGTTTTACAAATAGGCATATCATACTAATAAATTGTAAGTCACTGTTCATGGCCAAACTGAAGTAAACATTTTGAGAAAGCCACATGGATACACTATGAATTTTCCTTCTCATGGTATTCAAACAAAAAAAAGGAACAATACTTTAAACTGACTATATTACCTGTACTGAATTATTACTTTAACTGTAGAGATTCATCGCTCATTCATTCACTGTCCTTGCTTCCATCATGACTACACATTACTTTATATAGTCCCTTTTGTTCTTTAAACTCATCTCTCTTCTGAGAATTTCATCTATTCCATGCAATTATGATTTGTTCTGCCTTTTCCTTCATCTCAACCCTTTCACTCTTTCTTTTAATTGGTTTAATGTTCTTATATAAATATAGCTGAAAGCCGTAAAATAATTGAGCTACAATTTTTGCCTGAAATTCCTTTAAAGCCAAAGGCATGTAATAGACCTCTACTGTGTAAAAGAATTTACTCCACTAGTCAGATTTAGTAGCACATTCCAAATGAGCTTCTCATGAGCCTATAGTAGCAAAACTAATTTCTTCCAAGTACCCATCCTTTTAACTTGTCTTAAAGTACCCAACATGAGTTATCTATGCATTTTTGGCCTTTTAGCAAAGGCCACTGTTTTCATTTCTTCTTTGGAATAGTTGAGGGGTAGAGTCTTTAAAGATCTTCTTAACTCCATTAGGGTAATAAAAAGGACTACCCCATCATCAATAGTGATATGTGCCTATTAAGTAATTGGATTAATACAAACGCTGCTTGATCTCAGCTATGAGAAGATTTACTATGGCAACTATGGAAAATAGTGTTTTCACACAAATATGCCTGAAATACAGCTACAGGTAGTCCTCAACCTACAACTATTTGTTCAGCGACTGTTCAAAGTTACGATGGTGCTGAAAGAATGGTGGTTACGACTGGTCCTTGGAGTTCTGGCCATCCCAGCACCCTTGTGGTCACGAGATCATGATCTGGACACCTGGCAACCCATTTGCACTTACAACCAGTTGCAGTGCCCCATGATCATGTGATCACCATTTGCAACTTTTATGCACCCTCCCTGACTGTATTGGTATGGGGAAATGACCTTGGGAGATGGGGCAAGAGATGGTGTCTAGGAACAATCAGATAAGAGGGGGCATAGCCTGCAGCTGCTTAACAGGCAAAGAAAGAAACTCAGAAAGGAACCGCCCTAGCTTATCAGGCTGTAAAAGAGACAGCAGATTTGTGCTTCAAGACTTGCAAGATTCTGTTAATGTAGCCTTACAGTAAAGTAGCATTAGCTCATCTGGTCATGTTTCTTGTCTGGTCTACCTGGTAAGGTTGACACTGACACTCGCTGTGCCTCGCATGCACCCCTGCACACTCTCACACACTCTCCCTCAGCCTCACACCTCCCTCACTGCTTTGCGAGCCCCTCGCACCCTCATGAACCCTCCTCAACCCCCCTGTGACTCAGGAGAGGCCCTTCTGAAGATGCTCCCACTCTCAAAGACTTGTCTTTTTGGCACACAGGCTATGAAATGCACTCCTTCAGGAGTTTGTTCATCATGTACTTGGCATTTAGAAAATCTGTAAAGATGCTTATCTTTTACCAGACACTTAGCTGTTAACCAATTTTTATTGTTGATGTTAGCATTAATTTTAATGCATTTTTAAAAACTATTTACATTATTTAAAAATACTCTGACAGAACTCTTCCATGAATATCAAAGCTACCACAAGTGCCAATCTTCCTAAATTCAAGATCTTGCTTGATTAGAAAATGGAAGCTATGGCCAGGATAGCCTTTGCTCAGCTTTGGTTGTTGTACCAGTTACAGCTTTTCAGTAGCTTTGCCTGGCATGCCATGATGAAGGTTGCTTTGAAAGAATTGCCTATATGACCAAAGGTTTATCAAACAGCATGCCACAATCATATCTCTTTGCTTCCAGCACTCCTCTGGAGGAGAGTGCTCCTAATAGCTATTCAAGGTTCATGAAATACATACTTTGTCCCATTCCAAATCTTGGCAAAATTGACTGTGGCCCCATGTAGCTTTTTAGCATGTCAATACTAATGGCATCAGTTCTCACCAGATAGCAGAACCAGACTACTTTTTCAAATACAGGAAGGATAAGCCAAAAAACCATTCTACTCAAAATCTGCAGATTCATTATCAACTGAGAAGAAGAAGAAAAGAAGAACTCTTCGCATCTTTCACCTTCCTCACTAACATCACCATATTCTCAAAACTCTCTTCCATCTAGAAGAGAAGTAGGTCAGAGCTGTACTGTGGAGTCTTTGGTGCTCCCTGAGCTTGGTTGTTTGCTTGCAGACATTTCATTACCCGAGTAGATAACATCTGATAATGTTACCTAGTTGGGTAATGAAACGTCTGCAAGCAACCAAGCAAGCTCAGAGAGCACCAAGGACTCTATAGTTACCGCCTTTCCTAGACCAGGAGGTCCTGGAAACAATAAATTCCCTCTTCACCTCTAAGATAGGCTACTACAATATATTCTACATAGGTCTGCCTTTAAAAATAACCTAGAAGCTACAATTGCCAACAAATGAGAACAGTATAGTCACATAACATTGATTCTGTAGATGCTGAACTATCAATAGTACAATTGATAGTTCATTCCAAGTACAATTCAAAGTCCTGGTATTAACCTAATAATCCCAGATATATCCAGATCCATCTTCTCCAGGTAAAACTGATCCGTCTGGTCTGGTCTGTTCCTCCTGAGCAGGGATGTGAGCCAGAAGACAATGTTATTTTATTATGGCTCCCTCCCTGAGGAATAGCCTATTCTCAGACATCCAGATGGCATCCTCCCTGATGATATTTAGGGAGGCAGTGAAGCCACAGCTGTCTCACAGAGCTTTTAATCTGTCATTTTAACCATGGAGTTGCTGTTAGCTAATGGACACTGCAGTGGTGGATATTTTATTATAGTTATGATTTTTTTGGTTACATTTGTAAACCTCTGGTAGTCTTTTTGGGAGCCCAACAGTATACAATACCAAAAAAAGAGAAAGAAATCAGCCAATAAGTATACATGATACAAAGGCATAAAATGTCTTTGGAGAACATTCAGAATCTAGGTGCAAGGGCATTTCAGTATTTTCTCAGGAATTGTCACTTTTTAAAGTCACATTTTACTAGGTATCACACTTAGTATTTATTTATATGTACATTTATATCCTGTCTTCTTTGTATTTACTCACCAAATTACTATCACCTTTCTTCTACTACCATAACTTTTGAGATCATTGAAATTCTGTCTTTTGGGAAAGAAGAGAGTACAATCATTCTTAATGAGGATATTCTGTCTTTCTGAAAAGAAGCGGTTTTGTTTATTTACTTACTGTATGTGCCTTCCTACTATTTCAGTAAAAAAACCAAACTAAATGGCTTAAAAATGGCTGCCTGTTTGGAGTATCAGGGACTCAGTATACAATAAATTATGCACTGCATATCATATTAACAAACATCACTACAAAATCAAAATAACAACATCATTACCAGCATCAAATGCATCCTAAGTGAAGACATCCTCAATATCAATTCCTGATTTATTTATTCCTTAAATAGCCAAGTTTCACTGATCTTAATTATTAACAAGGATATTTATAATATTCTTCTATTTTATAGCAATTTACATGAGAAAGCGAGAGCAACAGAATAAATTAGACCCTGTTTTCAGTGTTTTGTGTCTTCCCTTTCTAAGGTAAAAAAACATGATAGAAATTCACAATAACTATCTAGAATGCTATTACACAAAGCAACCCAAAGCTCCTCAAAATGTTGCTGCCAAATTGCAATTTTCAGTGTGAATGAGTAAACAATTAAATATATAGGGAGGAATCATCTTAGTAGCTCCATTTCATTAAATGTTAATTCAGTTAAATATATTTTAGGTCAATCTACTTCATTGTCCTAATGCTGCCTGTTTGGAGTATCAGGGACTCTAGATTGTCATCCAAAGGCCTGGTATGTCTTTTGGCCTGAAAAGCAATTGTGTACCCCGATATAAAATATAACAAGTCCACAAAAACTTTACTGAAAACAAAACAAAATGATTAGAGGAACAAATCCTTAAGATTTATATTAAATTCCTAGAGTTACATATGTGCTTAAAGTGAAAAATGACTATACTTGCTCAGCTCTTAGACTCCTGCCAATTATTTTATAGCTCGACTATGTCATAGTGTGCCAACAGGACTAAGTGGTTAAAGGAAGGGCAAGTTTCAGACATATTCTTTGTAGACTCAGAAGATGCAGGAATCAGGGATGTAGTGACCAGTTATGTTATGACCAGGCTGAATTGGCCTGAGCTTTTTGCGGGGGGAGGGTTGGGTTAAGAGGCAAAATGGAAACAGAATATGATTGATATTCAAAGAGTTATCATTCCATTTGTCTTCTTTTTCAAAGTAAGCCAAAGCTGTTCCCAAATAGGTTAGAACTATACTTCACTTTTGCCGTTTTGACAAATTATTAACAAACTAGCATATACTATCTACTAAAATATATCAAGGTCTCTCAATTATAACCACAATAAGTTGTTTCTGATGAACAGAAATTGCTAACTTGTATGAACAACAGGCCTCAAATTAAACTGAAATGAAACAGTTGTGTTTCAGCCACAGGAATCCAAGCAGCTTAAAATCATTACTTGCTGCCAATTATTTTGGTTCCCCAGGAGAAAAGTATCTGTACTACACATGCAAGCAAGAAACCAGGTCACCAATATTATTTCACAATGTACTACAACACAAAAAATCAATCATTTTATATGATGGACAAAAGGGAACATTGCAGATCCCCTATTATGCTTTCAAGAAGGAAGATTCCATTTGCCAGGTCCTTAGGCAAAGTTTAACCAGCATCCTTCCTAGAAAGGTTCTGGGCACTTAGGAGTATTCATTAATGAAGAAAATTTTCAATTTCCTTTCCAAATTGGCATTTGGCCCTTGCATCACAACAGTAGACTCCTTTCTGTCCTGATTAAGTCTAGGGTTGTTTTAGCATCTGGCCTTTATGTGCTTCCCTCTTAGATTAGAGCAGCAGTTTTCAAAGTGTGGTCCACAGAGCCCTAGGCATCCTTGAGACCCTTTCACGGGGTCCACAAGGTCAAGCCTTGTACAATTGACATTGCTGAATGCTTGCTGGATGAAAAGTCAGCAAAAGAAATCACAGCAATACCACTTGCCAACAATACAATAATTCGCTGAATTAAAGATTTAGCTGCAGCAGACTGAGTTAATATCTCATCTGCAGAATTGTACTTTTGTCTTACAAATGGGTGAATCTATAGACATGGCTGGACTTGTTGTTTTGCTTGTATATGTTTGATACCAGCATCAACCAATCATTGAAGATCTTATTTTATGTGAATGCTTGGCAACAAACACAAGTTGTGCTGAAACATTCAAAGTGTTGAATAACTTTTTTACATCTCAAGGTTATTCCTGGAACAACTGTGTTGACATTTGCACTGATGGTACAAAAGCAATGGTAGATAAAACTGCTTGCTCCCTAGTATAAAACAAGGCAGTTGCACCAAACTGTACTAGTAGTCATTGTATTCTTCACTGCCACACAAAGTAAAAAAAAAAAAAAAAGGACATTTCACTTAAGAATGTCCTTGATGAAGCAGTAAAAATTATTATTTTTACTAAATCCTGACCCTTGTGTACACATCTTTTTAATATTCAGTGTGATGAAATGGGAAGTACACTTCTGCTACATACCACAGTACAATGGTTGTCTTGAGAAAATCACTGGCGCAACTGAATTGTGAGCTGAACTACCTGCTTTTTTTCATGGAAAACCATTTTTGCTTGAAAAAATAACTCACATACAAACTATGGACACTCAGACTTGGGTATTTAGCAGACATTTCCTCAAAAATGAATGAAGTAAGCCTGTCACTTCAAGGAAAATAGATGACAGTATTTGTTGCTAAAGATAAAATTCAAATTTTGGAAAACTTGTATTTGCTACCATGAAGCTGACTGCTTCCCAATACTTAAAGGCTTTTCTGACAAGATTGGTGGTGATATTAATGAATGTGATTTTTTTTTATATTGTATAACAAAATGTGTCAACGTTTGGAAGATCTGCATAATTCATTGAACCAATATTTTCCAAATGACCAATGCATGATGATACTAAATAATGAATGGATAAAAGATCCATTCAAAGTGCAAGACAGACCAGTGGATTTTAATTAACAAGTTGCAAAAGTTCATTGATACGGTTAAAGATTCCACATTGGAACTAACCTTTAAGTAACTACCACTTGTCAAATTTTAGTTTAGTATCAAACAATATCCACAATTATCTGAAAGGGCTGTTAAAATATTCCTCCCTTTTCCAGCAACATATCTGTTTGAAGCAGTATTTTCTTTGTATACTTCAACCATAACAACATATCATAACACACTGAATGCAGAAGCAGATATGAGAATCCAGTCGTCTTCTATTAAGCCAGACATTAAAGAGACTTGTAAAAATGTAAAACAATGCCACTGTTCTTACTAAATGTTTTTGTTTGTTTTGGAAAATATAGTTATTTTTCATTAAAATGTTGTTGATGTTACCATGTAATGGGTTTATTATTATTATTTTTAAATGAACTGATAAATATTTTAAAAATGTCTTAGCTTTCATTTCTAATATGGTAAATAGAGTATCAATAGACATAACGTACATAAACAAAAACTCTTTGGGATCTTCAGTCATTTTTAAGACTGTAAAGGGGTCCTGAGACCAAAAGGTTTGAGAATTGCTGGGCTAGAATACCTATTGATTTAGTGGGTATTCTGGTATAGATCAAACCCTATTATTACCTTTCATTTTCTATCAGGGCCTCTCCACCTAATCCATACTGCAAGATGCTAGTGGTATCTGGGCTGTTTCCAGTTAATGTTAGGTTGGACAACCAATCTACTCTGATGTCCCATTATTGTAATACTGTATGGCATATAAATTAGGAAAATGTATGCAACATACTTGTGTAACTTCTTAACAAAACTCCAAGACATTTGAGCAGCTATACCTTACAAATCTTATATAAAGAATCCTGTCCATCTCCTCCAGTATCTTTAAAATATTCATGTGCTGGAAATGTACGATGAATATCTCGTGTAATGACACTCTCCTGGGAAGACTCCTGTAAAAAGAAGGGAAAGATAGCAAATCCAAACCATGTTAAATTTGGGCAGCAGAACACAGCTATTACAACATAAATCACATGCTTGGCAAATTTTATATTCCTACCTTTAAAATATGTTGACAACTGGAGCAGGATAGGATCCAGATTATTACTCTACTTTATAACGTATACAAACTAAATAAAGGCTTGCTTCTTACACTTATAAAATAAAAAGCATTTTACTGTCTTATGACATATCCTGGAATAAGCTGCTTTTGGTAAATTATTAAAAATAATTCCTTCTTGAGTCAGAACTAGCAGAAAATTACCATAGCTGATTAATACAATGTTAATAGAAGATGTAAACCTATATATTTTCTACTATTAATTATTCATAATTAGACTTTTTTCCTTTTTATATACAGGATATATTTCTGGAACAACTAATTTATCAGTATACATTGCCAGTTGTTTCCAATATCAATGCATCTTAATCTACCACAAGAGAGTTAGACTGCTAAATTATCTTGAAATTTGAGAAAGAAAACCATCCTGCTGATTTCAAAAATGCAATGGCACTAGGAAGCAAAATATTAATTTAAAATGTGAATCATTAGTTTGCATTATCATGAATGAGCATGAAAAGGCAAACATTTCAAAATAAAGAGGGTCACTATTAAAAAAACCCTTAAAGACAATTTGAGATAGTACGTCATTTTTAGGTTCAACTATTTATTATGAATCCAGGAAAAGTATGCATGTACAAAGAAAGCATCAAAATCAATAGTCTTTTGCAAAACTATAAATATTTTAATATAAATTAAAGCAACCTGAATCCAGATATATTGCCAGGCTAAGTTTCAGTCTGATTTAATCACTTATGCAGGGTCAGTCATAGCAATTATCAATTATGGACATGGATACATCTAAAAAGTAGCTTCACACCAGAACCTAATTCAATTGCTTTACGAACTTCCAGTGTAGAGAAGGACCACTGTCACCAAATCATGAATGCAATTATAAAAGCCTGTTTTGGCTTGCTTCTTCACATACCAGCTAATGGGAGATCTGAGGATGAAGACTGTACACAAAACTTCTTCCTTAGCCTCAGTTGTTCCTGCTGGCTATTTTCATTGTTTTCACGAATGATCCTAATTACATATCATGTTTTAGAGCCAGGGTCTATAACTTTACTGGGCCAGTGGATACATTTGGAATTTTGAGAGTATGTTAGGATCATTTTCACAAAATGATTCCCCTGGTTGATGTGTTTAATCGCAAAACACCCATATATCATGCCATTGGTATACCATGCCTTGTCCAGCAGCTTCCTGAGGATGTTAAACAGGAGACGAAAATCACTGGCCTCTCTTCCCACCCATCAATACTGACTGAAAACAACCATGGAGAAAGAGGTGAACTATTTCAGCATCATGTCTCCCATTCCCAATCCTTCCTTTCAGTCCAGAAGGATACTATGATCAATGGTACTAAAAGCTGTTGAGAGATCAAGAAGAACCAGGTTAGAGAACCAGTTTGGAGTAGTGGTTAAGATGCTGGTCTAGAAATCACACGACTGTGGTCTCCCTTAGGCATGGAAGCTAGCTGGATGACTTTGGGCCAGTCACTCTATCTCAGCCCAACCCACCTCACAGGGTTGTTGTGCGGAAAATAGGAGGCAGGGGTATTAAGTATGTTTGCTGCCTTGAATTCTCTCTCTCTCTCTCTCTCACACACACACACACACAAATGTGCACACACATATATATGCCCGATCACTCAACCCATTAAAGCACAACCAACACAAGCTATGAAAAGGATAAGATGGCCATACATCAGAAACATCTCAGAAACAGCCAACAGATTATTACAATCACACGGCAGCACCGTAGCACACAAG